CAAGTGATTCTCCTGCCCCAGCCTCCCAAGTAGCTGAGATTACAGGTGTGCACCACCATGCCTGGCTAATTTTTGTATTTTTAGTAGAGGCAGGGTTTCTCTATATTGGTCAGGTTGGTCTCGAACTCTTGACCAAAAGTGATCCCCACGCCTTTGCTTCCCAAAGTGCTGGGATTACGGGCGTGACCCACCACACCCAGCCAATTGTGGGTTTTTATACATACCCTTATTGTATTGAGGTTCATTTCTTTTATACTCATTTTGTAGAGAGCTTTTAAAATCATGATAGGATGTTGAATTTTGTCAAATGCTGATTCTGCATGTATTGAGATGACCGTGTGTTTTTTTCTTTCATCCTATTAATGTGTATCATGTTGATGGATTTTTGTATGTTAAACAATTCTTGTATGCCAGGGATAAATCCCACTTGATTATGGTTTATGATCCTTTTAATGTGCTGCTGAATTCTGCTTGCTAGTATTTTATTGAGGATTTTGGCATCTATGTTCATCAAGGATATTGGCCTGTAGTTTCCTCTTCTTGTGATGTGTTAGGCTTTAAAATCAGGGAGATACTGGCTTGATAAAATGAGTTTGGGATTGTTCTCTCTTCTAGTTTTTAGAAGAGTTTAAGAAGAATTGGCATTAGTAAAATGAGCAAATCACAGAAGGACAAATACTATATGATTCCACTTATATAAGGTATCTAAAACAGTCAAACTCACAGAGAATAGTCAAACTCATAGAAAATGGTGGTTGCCAGGGCTAGGCAAAGGGAAAAATAGAGAGTTGTTTGATGAGCACAAAATTTCAGTTATGCAAGATGAGTAAGTTCTAGAAATTTGCTGTATAATATAATGCCTATAATTAAGAATACCGTATTGTGCACTTCAAAATTTGTTTGGAGTAGATTTCATGTTCAGTATTCTTACTACACAGACACAAAAAACTAACAAAGATGAAAGCACCACCCAGAAACTTTTGAAGTGACAGATATGTCTATTACCTTGACTGTAGTGATGATGTCACAGGTGTATGCATATTTCCAAATTCATCAAACTGTACACATTAATGACGTACAGTTTGTTGTATAACAATTATACCTCAAGAAAAATAAAGGAAGGTAGAATAAATTTTCCAATCTGTTTTTTGTTTTAGATTGTCATCTATCTAACATCTTTTGCACTACTATATAATTCCATTTTAGAATTCGTATGTCAATTCCTATAAAAAATCTGCTGTGACTTTCAAATGAATTGCACTGAATCTACAGATTTGGGATTTACTGATATCTTAACAATATGGAATCTTCCAAATACATTACTACACTATTCCATTTGTTTTAGTCTTCTTTGGTTTCTCTCTGCAATGTTTTGTAGTTTTAAATTTAGAGGTCTTGCATATATTTTGTTATTTTTTTCCTAGGTATTTGAGGGGTTTGTGGCTACTGTCATTGGTATTGCTTTTTTCCTTGCTTGTTTGTTGGTTCTGGGTTTCCATTTTAAATAAACGTTGTAGTTTGGAAACATTTTAGATTTACAGAAATGTTAGAATGATAGTAGAGTTCTGGTATACTCCTGACCCAGTTACTCTCATCGTTAGTATATTACATTTCTGATCTATTTTTGTCAAACTAAGAAAATTTTATTGGTGTATTACTAAAAATGGTAACTGAATTGCTTTTAAATTTTATTTTGAAATTTTTGTTGATAGTATATAAAAACAAAATTGATTTTTGTATATTAAAATTTGTGTTCAGTGCTAAATGCATTTATTAGTTCTGGTAGTTGGTTTATGGATTTCTCTGAATTTTCTACATACACAGTCATGAAACTGTTGAAGAATATCTTTACTTCTTTATTTACAATGATTATGTTTTTTACTTCTTTATTCTGCCTTATAACACTAACTAGGAACTCCAGGCCAGGTGTGTTGATCACGTCTGTGATCCCAGCACTTTGGGAGGCCAAGGTGGGCAGATCAATTGAGGTCAGGAGTTCGAGACCAGCCTGTCTAACATGGAGAAATCCCGTCTCTACTAAAAATACAAAAATTAGCCAGGTGTGGTGGTGTGCACCTATAATCCCACCCATTCAGGAAGATGGGGCAAGAGAATCACTTAAACCCAGGAGGCGGATGTTGCAGTTAGCCAAGATCCTGACACTGCACTACAGCCAGGGCAACAGAGTGAGGCTCTGTTTCAATTAAAAAAAAAAAAAAAGAAAGAAAAAGAAAGAAAGAAAAGAAAACCTACTAGGAACTCCAGCACAGCAAGCAGACATCATGTCAGTAGGTATCTCTGCCTTGTTAGCAGTCTTAGGTGGAAAATGTTCCTTTATTCTGTTTATGTGGTAAATTAGGTTGCCTGATTTTCAAATGTTAAATTAGACTTGCATTTCTGGAATAAATCCTACTTGGTCTTCTATAGAAATTTTAACACTTGTACTCTTTAATCAATCCTCTCTTGTGGGACCTTTGTTATTTTAAGTATTCTGGTATTTTATTTTATTTATTTTTTATTTTTTTGAGATGGAGTTTCGCTCTTTCACCCAGGCTGGAGTGCAGAGGCGCAATCTCGGCTCACTGCAACCTCAGCCTTCCAGTTTCAAGCGGTTCTCCTGCCTCAGTCTCCTGAGTAGCTGGGATCACAGGTGTGCACCACCACACCTGGCTAATTTTTGTACTTTTAGTACAGACGGGGTTTCACCATGTTGGCCAAGCTGGTCTCAATCTCCTGACCTCGTGATCCACCCACCTCAGCCTCCGAAATTGCTGAGATTACAGGCGTGAGCCAATGCACCCAGCCATATTCTGGTATTTTAAGTAGCATTGTAATAATTATCCCTGCAGCTACATTATTACATACTTTCATAATAATTTCTACACGAGCAATCCCTAAAAATGGAATTGCTGGGACAAGGCTTTTTAATATTTGTTATAAAATTTTCCCCTAGAAGTTTTGAATAAACATATCCCCTATTTCTACTGAAAGCACCTCCTCTGCAGATGCTCCTCTGCTTATTATGAAGTTATGTCTCAATAAACCCATGTTACAGTTGAAAAATTGTAAGTTGAACCATTGTAAGTTGGCACTCTCTCTACAGCATTTATATATATATAAATATAATATATATATAGTAGCCAAATCTGGATGCTATCATGGTTTAAATTGCCAATTTTGTAAGCAAAGATGTATCATTTTAATTTATATTCATTTATTTATTAATGAAGTTACACTTTTTTGCAAATACATTTTGGGAATTTCTCTTTTTTTTAGTGTAAAACGCTTATTCATACCCTTTGTCTAGTTTGCCAGTTAGAGTGTTAAATTTTCTCTTAATGATTTGTAAAAAAAGGTTATATTTATCTTAAGCTTTTGTATCAACTACATGATATGATAATAATAGAGTTATTAAGAACAAGTTAAAATACAAATTAGAATCTCAGAGATTAAGGCACTGACCTTAAGTGGTAAATTGAGGATGATGCCAGATTTTAAAGGATGGTGAACACTATCTTCTGTAGAAAATAGAAAGGCTTTGATAGGGAGATACACGATATAACTTATGTTGTGGAGCAGAGGTCAGCAAACTATGGCTTTTGGGCCACATCTGGTCCATTCAGATTTTTGTAAATAAACTTCTATTGGAATAGATCTACAACCATTTATTTATGTATTGCCACTCCTACAACTGAAAACTAACATGCTATCATGGCAGGGTTGAATAGGTGCCACAGAGACCACAATGGCCCACAAAGCCCAAAATATTTACTGTCTCTTTACAGAAAAATTTGCCAATCTGTTTTAAAAAGATAACTCTGGCAGCTGGATGAAGGATTAATATTAGGGAGAAATTATGTGCATGAAACATATTTGGAAGGAAACTGTGCTACTTCAGATAAGAATGACAAAGGCCTAGTCGAAGGCAATAGTAGTAGGTAGGCATGGAAAAAAAAACGAAAAAAGAAGACAGACATTTTGTATGCAAAATTAGAGAAGAGAATAAAATATATATAAAAAAGATTTTTTAAAGAAGAGAAAGATTCCAAATTTTCTATTTTTGGTGATTGGAAGGATGGTGGTGTTCTGAATTGTGGTAGAAGAAAAACAATGGGGGAAAGAAACATGTCCAGAAACAACAGTGATTTTCATTTTGGATAAGCTAAACACCTGTAAGATAAATGCATGGGGCTTGCCCAAATTATCCCCAAACTGATCTCTAAGCAAATGTAGTTGTGGGGGTCACTGGTCTATAATTGGTAGCTGGTATTTTAGGAAGCCACCAAAGGAAATGTAAAATAAATAAAAAGTTCTCTGAACATCTATATATAAACAGTTGTTGAAACTGTCATTAATTAACACCACAGAAGATTACAGAGAAGTTAAAGTAAATGAACTAAGTCCAGATATATCAAAATAGATAATTGCAAAATACATAATGATGAATTTTCAAAATGCAAGGTGCAAAGGATGCTACGATGCTATATATGGGAAATTTTAAAAACAAAATGACATATGTTGTATACAGACATACAAATATAGAGATGACAATACAACTTCAGAATATTAGGATAACAGGTAGGAGAGGAAGAGAAGAGGAAGGGGACACTAGCTTGATCTGCCACATTATATTTCTTTTTTAAAAGGCTGCCAGTAGAAGGCACTGAGAGAAAAGTATAAATTGCCATGAGAAAAATTAAGAAAATACAGGTCCTGGACATTAGGAAAGCGAGGAGGTATGTTCTCAAAAGAAGAGCATAGAACATACCATCCAACTTTGCAGACAAGTCAAGTAAAATAATGATTAAGAAGCTGTCTATTATCAGTCAGAAACCTTTAAGACAGTTTCAGCAGAATAATGAGGGTGGGAGCCAGATGGTGGGGGGTGGAGAGGAGATACTTGGCACCGAAGGAGTGGAGGCAGTGACAGCAAACGGCTCACTCAAAAAGGCTGGCAATGAAGAAGGAAAGAGGAAAGAAAAGAGAAAGATACATGGTAGTTTAAATGAGAAACATTTAATTTATCTGATGCTTCAATTTCAGGCCAGCTAGGTCCTCAAATAACTCATTTTTTTTTCCTTTGCAAAACTTCAAGTTCTTATAGTAGCAAAATAAATATGTTTTTTCATTAAGGGATTATCTCCCTAACTCACATGTTAATATGACACAAAAAACATTAAGAGCTTGGTTCATATCACATAACATGAACATTAGTCTTGCAAAAGTTGAGAAAATGTGAGTCATGAGACGTAGGGATTTTCTAGGTGTACTGCTCACTCAGATAGATCCCCACAAAGTGGTATGTATCTTGATGCAGCCAACCAGTCCAGGATCTGTCCTTACAGAGTGAGACTCTGTAAAAAAAAAGAAACTTAATTTCATCAATGTGAACACATTTAGTGTATTCGGGAAGGTGATTCATACTAACGAAGCTCATCAGGGTCTGATATTTAAGCCATTTTATTTATTTACAATAAGGAGTTTGATTGCCAAGCACTCTAGACATAGTTAGCCCTAACCAGTGAGCCCAATTATCCCTAGGGTATTTGGGAAGCAAGGAAGCAGTTAAGGAGTTACTTATTGGAATGTGTAATGACATCTGGTTTTGATGTGACAGTCTCTGAAATAGCTATATTCCTGTTGAGTGGATTCTTGAATCGGCCTAACAGAGCATTCCCTCTTGAAGTGAAGGCATGCTCTTACAGATTTGCTTCTTCTGCACCTTTATTTCTAAATTTCCTTTTGAAGTACATATCCATGCCTTACCACTGTTAATACCTTTCTGCCTAGGAACAGACACATCTCTTTAAAATGTTCTGCTTTTCTCTGCACTGAATGCATTATGCATGTTATTGCTTAGCTTTCAAAGTTCTTTGAGGACACCTATGATCACTCAATATAGATGACATTTCATTTGTAATGATGACTTTTACCATTTCTGAGGACAACTATAATTTCATTGTTTATTCTATTTTTCTTCAGGTAAACTTACTTCTTTACTTAAATTTTTTAAAGGACACCTTATATTACTACCATCAATTACCAACCCAATTTATTTGACAAAAGTAAAAAAACCAAAAAGATAAGCATAATAAGGATACAATTATATTCTTTAATAATTCATTTGTTTCACCACTACCTGTACACTGATATGCCATCACTTATTATCACAACTACTCAAACATGACATTATTTTGTATTTTTTCATGCAGTTTGTTACAGTTCTGCAATCCTATCCTGTTGCTGATGATTGCAAAAGTATTACCTTGTAATAACATCAGCACTGCACTGACTTATGAAATCCTGATGTGAATGTCAGCTCAACCTTTAAAAGAAACTTAAGGAAAATATGAGTTGTTTATATGAAATGTTCCTTAGGATAATATCATTTAAATGAGATCAATTTCCATGGAAATTATCTAGCATGTCTTTCACAAAATTCTATAAAAGAGCTCTGACGGTGCACTTAAAGGGCTATCATTAAACCACTTATTGCTGTGTAGGTTCTGATTTTAAAACTTTTTCTCAGACATAAAAAGGTATAGTTCTTTTGGACCTTCAACATATTGTTATTTTGCACAATTCATTCTATTCAATTTATGTAACACTCTAAGACATTGTAAATGTCTGAAAATAACTATGAAGAAGAAAAAATAAATAAATAATTATGGATTTGTTGAAAAAGGGACAAAGGGTATATTTTCAGAGGCTATTTGAGAATATATAGGGAAGCTGATTAAGCACAGACAATCCTGGAGGAAAGCCTAAGAAAAGTTTCTCTATCCTTTTAGTTAGCAGTGATTGTGGGTAATGCTTTTTGTCCAGAAAGTTTGTGAGCAGAGTCTCCAGAAAGTAAATATTGTATTCTCAACCATAAGATTTTTAGGACTTTTCACTAAAGGAGAGCAATTGTACATGTCATATAGTATTACATCTTTATTTCCAAACTTGGTTTAGGGTGATATAGAAAACTTCAACCAAATTTTAAATAAAATAATAAACATCTTAGTAACAGTTTAGGTACTATAAATATTAGATATAGGGAATACAATTAAACTTAATATAACTGATGAGCTACGTACACATCTTAATCTCAGAGATTTTTTGCATTAGTTTCAAACACATCTTACAAAATAGTGGATATTTGTTGGTTGTTACCTCAGCATCCATTTCCATTTTTTTCCCAACCAAAACAAACCTGATTTCCTTAGGAGTACTTACCCAACCTCAGTACAAAGTGACCATGTAGATGGAGTGGACAGACCTCATCCCCAGGTTGAGTCCTGCAGAGCGTCTTGCACTTGACCACAGTGATTGATCCAGAAATGGAGATGTATCACATTTTGGCCAATAAAACATTACAGATGTGCTAAGGACTCCTACAAGTGAAGTTTCCTTGCTGCTGTGGGAGTTCCAGGAACCTTCCATGAACAGTGTGAGAAGAATGTGAAGTTCCTTAATGATGCCATGAGAAGATCTAGTATGAAAACTAGTCCAACATCTGGAGGAAGACAGAGCTACAAGACTCAAAATGGACTCAGTGTCCAGATGGCAACATGAACTGATGAATTAAGTCTCCCTTTCATAAAGCTTAAAATTAGAGCAGTGTGTACACAATTCAATTATATGAACTCATACTCCCCAAGTTTTTTTCTTTCATAATCCACTTTGGTTCAGGTTTTCTGTTACTTCCAAAACCCTCCCAGTCAATGTAGGAAGGTAATTTGGAACACTGGAGGAAGTACTGAGGTCAGGAGATCTGAGTTCCAGTTTAGTTTTGCCATTATTTGTGTGATCTTAAGCAAGTTCTTTATAACAAAACCCTTTAACCACTGTATCCTTTTTACAATAGCATTCATTCTAGATGATTTCTATTAATATAACATAGAACAAATTGGCTATATTCTACCAAATCCACATATCTTTCTGAGTGTACAGGTGGACTCTATTTATTGGCCTCCAATTAGTTCAGTTGGGGAATTGTGATTCAGTTCTAAAAGATGGGATGTAGACCAAAGTGATGAAAACCACACCAACGCCTTTTACTTCATATGATTCCAAAATCCTCTCTTCCCTCTCTTCGATGACTATGGAGGCCAAATACTGAGGATGGCAGAATCAGGGATTTCTGATTTTTACTAGGATTCAATACCCTCTTCCTCCAAGTTTTCAACTTTCACAAAATATTTACAAAACATTCTGAAAACTTTCCAATGTATTTCTGTTCTTCCAGGAAAACTTCTCCTGGATAAAATATTTATTAATTGCACTCATGAAACTGTCTCAGAATTACTTCACTAATAAATTTTAACAGAAATTATGCATGATTTGCAACCTCCACCCTAATTTAAACCTCATTTACAAAATGAAAAAAAGATCTTAGTGTATAGTTAACTGCTATTTTTTAATACTCCCAATTTGTTGTTATACAACATTTATTTCGTATTCACCTGGAGTCTGATGTGGGTATAATAGCTCTCCTAGAATTTTGAACAAATGGGGTAGACTAGGGAGTTACAATTCAGGATGAAATAATCAAGGCATCCTGTGCAAGGGCTTGAACCTATCTCTCAGCAGATGAGAATCCACTGCAGAGCCTTGAGTGGAGGGTATGGCATATTAAGGGAGCCAGTCAAGAAGTGAAATGACCAAGAGACATCAATAAACTTCTCTAAATCAATGTTGGCAAGTTATCCCACTATCTCAGGCAGGAGGAGACATTCATTGATTAAACTGATTCTTAAGCCAATCTGGAAATTTTATATCAGCCTTCTAAATTGGATTTATTTTGTCTCTCCTAACTAGTCCCAGACAGACCTTTGTCCATCACTCTACTTACTGGATACAAGAAATAATTCACTAATGCTAAAACAGGATCCTTCCAATTCTCATTTTCATCTAAGATTTTGTGCCCATTGAAAGTTGAGCCAATTGTGGATAACTCCATTTCCTTGCCTGCTAACCCAAACTCAATATAGGGAGAACCACCTCAGCTAGTTCTATTTATTGCAAAGATATCATTACAATGTAAACTCCTCAAAAGCAGGAACAGTATCTTATTTAGCTTCAGAGAGCCAATGACTATCTCAGTATTCTGCACTTTGCTCCACCGTTTGTAGAAGTGATAATGGTCAGGAAATAAGGCTCTCTGTCTAGTAGTGACCTCTTGATACCCAATTATCTTGGGAACTGAAAGGGGCAAGAGACACCACCCACAGAGAAACTGAAAAGTTTCTGTGCAAAGAGAGATACTGTTCCCAGCAGTATCTGTGTGGCAATACACACCACTGCATATTTTCTTCTGCTTTCCTCTGGTGGTTAATGTTATATACATACAAATAGACATGTATACACACACACACACACACTCCACAAAAAAGGTAAAAATCTTAAGAAAATGTGTCTTACTCATTTCTAATACTCTATATGAAAATAATTTTTCTATTTTTTTTACATGTCAAGCTTTCGTTAAAGATTTCTGAATGAGTGAGTAGAAAAGGTTAAAGTCCAGTGCAACATCTATATTTAGAGAGGTTTTCTGTGTAAGTTTCTTTGGAGAGGTGTGCTGGGGGAGGAAAATTTCAGGTAAGTTGTGTCAATTGCTGCAATTTAGGTTAGACTGGTAATGTCTAATGTGTTTATAGTCATCTATTTGTATGGAATGAAAGACTACAAAGAGGGTCTTTTTCTTCACTCATCCCCCAGGGTCTTCTGGTCTTCCATCTAAACACTGGGGAAGGCAAAGGAGGGCCAGCTACAACAGAAGCAGGAAGAGCTATTTTCACAAAGATTCTCTAAGAAATGAAAACACACTTTTGATTAATTTATTTACTTTGGAGACAGGGATTCACTCTCTCCCAGGCTAGAGTGCAATAGTGTGATCACAGCTCACTATAGCCTCGAATTTCTGTGCTCAAGTGATCTCTCATCTCAGTCTCCCAAGTAGCTGAGATCACAGGCTCACACCACGATGCTCTGTGGAAACATACTTTTTTTTTTTTTTTTTTTTAACCAAATTGGTAAGAGTGAAATTCCATAAACTCCAGGTCCTTGCAAGTTCACCAGCCCATGCCCAATTACTCCAGGGAAAAGGTCTGGGTAGCTTATTCCTTCATCTCCACAACTAACTGACATCACCACACCGTGAGTTTGGCTCAGGCTTCTTGAAAGCCACTAGGTCACTGTGGTGTTGGGGAGGAAGGTGAGATCAAATTTGTCAAATGTTTGCTTGAAGAGCCCAATAAGTTTGCAGGATGTTCAGGTTTATTTGGTGGTGACCACCTATGCCAGTCCAGAGACAGTGGCTGTTATTGCTGGAGGACAGGTGAGAATGGCATCTCACATTCACCTAACAGTGCTCTCACCTTGGCTTGCTTTGAACCAGTAAGCAAGCAAGGCAAATGATATACATGAGATTAGAATATAGATTTGTGGCTGCAACAAGTGGGAGGTTCTCTCAGAGTCTGGGGATCTCACCCTCCCAGAGGAATGAATCAGTAGGTCAGAGCAGCTCTGAATGTGGGCTCACTCTCTACTTTTCACATTTCCGGCTTGATGAGGTAAGGGGTAACACGCAGTCAAGAGTCTGTCCTAACACGATAAAATAAATGTTTTCTGTGCCACAATCAGATAACTAAGTTATTTCTTAGTATCATTTCTTGCTACATAATTGGGCCAAGTTGAAGTCTGGTGCAGCAGACAGACTATGGTCTACTAAAGACAGGAATTTTGTTTTTGAGTGAACAACCCACTTTAGACCAACTTTGGTGGTAGCAAAGATTGTCTACCCAGGAATATTTAGGGAGGCTTGTGCAGATCTGTGAAGATGGGCAGAACTCCCAGCTTCACCTGTCCTTTGCTTCACATAAAAGAGAATCAGTTGGGAGGCTGAGACAGGTGGATCACGAGGTCAGGAGATCGAGACCATCCTGGGTAACATGGTGCACGGTGAAACCCCGTCCTACTAAAAAATACAAAAAACTAGCCGGGCGAGGTGGCGGGCGCCTGTAGTCCCAGCTACTCGGCAGGCTGAGGCAGGAGAATGGCGTGAACCCGGGACGCGGAGCTTGCAGTGAGCTGAGATCTGGCCACTGCACCCCAGCCTGGGCGACAGAGCGAGACTCCGTCTCAAAAAAAAAAAAAAGAGAATCAGGTGAAGTCAAATGATGACAAGGACTGGGGCTAGACTACTGCTCCTAACTCAAGATACAGACCTTTTTAAAGGAAGAGATCTTTTGATCTCTATCTTAGTTTGGGTTCTCCCAAAAGCAGATCCTGGGGCAAGAATTTAAGTGCAAGTAGATTATTTAGGGAAAACCAGTACGGGAGTGGAGTGATAAGGAAAGGAAGTGAGCCAATAAAATGTGCACAATTAAGCCAGCTACTGTTGAATGAGCAGAGATATAGCCCCTGGATTATCCCACCTTGTTGATGAAGAGGTTGTTATTTACAAACTCAGTCACTGACTGAAGACTGCTCCCTGAGGGAGTGTTAATTCCCCAGAATTCCTAGCCTGCCACACATGGACGGGGTGCAGAAAACGCCTTCGAATGCGGAGATGCACGTATCAAAAATTGAAAGTACACAGGAGCACAGTGATTTTGAGAGAAATGGGAAATGGATATTATTATATACTAATATACCTAGAAGAGACATAAAACTTGACTAGGTAAGGAGTCGTCAGGGCTTTGCACCAGCAGCATCCCTGGAAAGAATGTGCAGTGATTTTCAGGGTTCATGGTGGATTGACTCTCCAACAGCTCTCACAGGATGCAGGGTAAGGTATTTATTTAAATAGAAAAATAAAGTCAGCTAATGGGTTTGATAAGGATATGGGCTCTACCATAAATATGACTTAAATTTGCAGCTACAAAATTTTAATGAAAATATATTTAAAGCACATAAACAAAACACCATGTGCTAGAAATTCCATTCTTTGCAATTAATATACTACATAAAAATTTAGCATTTTAAAGTAAGTATGCATAAAAGGGTCTTAAATTTTTTTTTAGTTAAAATTTAGAAGCCATATGAGCAAAAATAGCTTATAATTGTCTTACAATTATGTGAGCTACTCAATATCCTTTTAAAAAGGAGAATAAGATTCAGAGGTTAGGTAGCTGGGTGGCAGGTGTCAAATGCACAGTAAAACTGGGTCAGCCAGCTTTGAACCTTTGAACACTACTGTCAAACAATCAGACTGAAGCTTCTGACCCAACACACAGTGACACTGCCCACTGTGCCCTGGATGTCACCACAGGCATCAATGGCATGCTCCTTTATGAATTTGCTCTTGCTACAACTGGTGTGACCATCAGAGTTGTTTCTCTACAGGATTTGCTGCTATGCAGCACCAGTCCTCAATTCAGTAACTGTGGTAGTCATAAGCAGAGCCTAGGCCTCTTTCACTGCAAGAAACATCAGAAAAAAAGTGCCTGATATATTGAGCTCTATCACCAAAACTTGTAAAATAGGGAACTCTCAAGAAATAAAAAGACTGATGTTAAGCAGCCAAAAG